TTTCGACTTTGATTTTTAAAAAAAAAAATTAAATGTAAAACAAAAACGGATTCTGAAAATCCGTGTTTAGGTTAAAAATTTTAATTAGAAACACGGATTTTCAGAATCCGTCCGTTTGATTTTTTTCCACAATTATTTTTTTTTTTTAATTTTTTGCCACAGATTTTTTGTTTATTTTAAAAAAATAACCCACCCCACTAATTACTCCATAGTCCAAAATACCAATTTGAAAAAAAATAAATATTTTGACTTTCAACGCTTAGAGTCACACGACTGTCACCCTCGCTCAATCACAAAACCATCAGAATAAAAAGTGGGTGACGGTGAGCCTAGCAGCCAAACCTCAGCCTCACGCTCAGAGTACATATATATATATATGAGACACCACCAAAATCAGTTACCCACACTGAAAATCACAAAGAAAAAACAACCTCACAAATCCCCCTTTTCAACCATGCCGAGCGGCACCAAAAGGTACATCCTGAACGCGCTGAGCGACGGCCTCGGCTGCGGCGCCGGATGCCGCCGCCCGAAGCTCCCCGCCGTCTTCCAGCCCCGGCCGAGGCGCCACCACCGCCGCCGCCAACACCAGGAGCCCTCTTCCAGCTCCTGGGACGCCGCCACCGGCACAACCTTCTCCTCCGCCGTGGAATCGTCGGACACGGACTCCGACGTCCGTAGCCTGCGGGCCGTGCAGGGGTTCGGCCGCGTCGGCTCCAGCGTGGCGGTGGAGAAGGACTCCGACGACCCGTACCTGGACTTCCGTCGGTCGATGCTGCAGATGATCCTGGAGAAGGAGATCTACGCGAGGGACGACCTCAAGGAGCTCCTCAGCTGCTTCCTCCAGCTCAACTCGCCGTACTACCACGGGATTATCGTGCGGGCTTTCACCGAGATCTGGAACGGGGTCTATTCGGGCCGGGCCGGTTCCCCTGGCTTTGGTGGGGCGTGGGCGCCACGTGACTTCTCACGTGAGCTTTAATCATTTCTTTCCCCTTCCCAGTGCGTGACTGCAATAAAGAGGTGTGTGTGTGTGTGTGACTGTGTGTCGTCTTTACTAGGTAATTACTAATTAGAAGAAAAAGTGGTCCCGGGTTTGGGTTCGGGTTCGGTTATCGAGACCCGAATAGTTAATGGGTTTTGATGCCATTTTTTCAGTCGTCATTTCTAGTTCACTCTGCCGGAGTTTTTCACCGTTGGATCTATATGAATGTATGTCGATCCAACGATGAAAAGCCTGGTGCATACAATAGAGTGAAATGTTATCCGTTTTTAGTTGTTAAGGTCGTTGTAGCTTGCGAGGCGAATGTTAACTAGTTAATTTGTAGGAACAAGTGGACTCGATTTTCACAGACTTTTTTACATTTACATCAACTATATGAGACAAGGAAATGTAAATTTGTTGATTACTTAGGGGATGTAAAAAAATCTGTGAAAATTGTAATATTTGTTGCTGATAGTAATTTGAAATTTATATATATGACTGCTATTTAATTTATAGATGCAATTGGTTTTTTGCTGTTTCAGTGCAGTGTGGTACTATATATATATGCATGGTGTGTACTTTTCTCTTTCTCAGGAAAATGTTGCAATATATGATGAGATTGTACTAGTAGTAAGTTTTGTGGGAAATATCAGCATGTTTTTAGGCTATTTTTGGTAAAATTAGCTGATAAGCTAGTTTATAGCTTATATGTAATTTTTGAGCTTATAGCTTATAGCTTATGACTTATAGCTGAAAAAGTAGCTTGTATGATAAAAGGTGTTTGGTAAATTAGCTGATAAGCTAGCTGAAATAAAAAAATTCAACTAGCTTATTTTAAAAGCTACCTAAAGTAGCTTATGAAATAAGCTCGAGCTTTTTAAAAAAGCTCGTCCTACCAAACGAGGTTTATTTTAAACATGGAGCTTATAAGCTAACCAAATAAGCTAAAAACTAGCTTATTTGGCTTACCAAACATACCCTAACCATTATGAGATTACAAGTTTACCACAGTTTTTCCACCAATATTAAATTGCTACCAATCGTTTGAATATCGATCGGTCCAAAATACCGGTTTCATATCGAAACATATCTATTTTATTAGATAATACCGACCAAAATACCAGTCAAAATACTGATTTATACCATATTTTTTTAAAAAAAAAATAAATATATTTTTATTAGTTTTTTATAAAAATTGAAAGTTGCACACTTAATTTTAATACGTTTACATTGTTATTTTGATTAATTTTAGTATTTATTAAATATTATTTATTTTATGATAACAAATTAATTTAATGTTTATTAATAAAATAGATGATAATACTAGTTTAACTGCGTATCGGTAGCTCGTTTGGTACGACTAGCGGTACAGCATTTAAAACATTGTTTTTTCACAACAAAGCATTGCTATAATCCAAAAATAACTTTATACAAATAAACATAAAAATACATAATGAAAAAATAAAGAACACACCAAATTGACGAGGACTTTGGCTAATAATGTCACATTTTTTTGCTACCGCCAACGCAATATCATGGGACTAAATTAATGATTCACAATGCTTCTTTAGTTGAAATTTCCTTACAAGAGATGAGATAAAAGTTTTCGGTGTAGTTATAATATAAAGACAGTTAACCTGTTTGATGGAGAACGTGGTACGAGATGGGAATGAAAGTGAGATACTCTTTTACGAAGAACAATTTGAGATACTCTCTCAGTGAAATAAAATTTTAATCGTCAAAAAACTGACTTACATCCTTTTTTCATCCTTAAATAATAAAAGAGAATCCTAACCTTGCTACACATCTTGCAAGGTAATTTATTTATTTCCTAAAAATGATAAGAAAACTGGACAGGAATAAATATGCATAATAATAAAATTACGAACTAGATCTTGAGCCGGTCAAATTTGTCGAGAAAGGCTAAGGCAGTCTCATCTCCATCACTGTTTATGCAAAAAAAATGGTTTTTTTAAATCATAGTTACAAACTTGATGCATGACAAGACTTAATAAAGGACGTCAAATTTGGTTAGCCAATCGAGTCCAGCTCGGAGGTCTTAGATGTGGAGTTCGAGATTTGTGGTCGTTTCTTTGTTTTTAGCCTCGGGGAGTGGTTAGTGTGTGTGAGTGTGTAGTAGTAGCAGCTGAAGGCTTGCGAGAGGCAATTGAGGTTTTATTGTATTTTAGGAAAATGTTACAATTTCGTTACGGAACCATTCCGTTGAGATTTGTGCTAATGGTAAGAGGGGGGTTTGAATGTGGGGGCTGTTCTTATTTTACCGGAGGGGTTTGAATTAGCTCCTTCCGATCGTATTTCGCCCGAGATAAAAGAAAAGATAGGCAATTTGTGCATCTAACGGTTACAAATCCCATAGAATGGTTTCGTAACAGGACTGTAGCCTTACCATGTATTTTATTGTACATGTGTGTTATTTATATATATATATATATATATATATATTTAATCTCAGTTTATTCTCCTTTTATGGAGAGTTTTCTCATTCTTTGGACTTTTACTAGTTAGTTGTCTAATGGAATTATGTCTTCGACGGATATGTCTAGACTTACCATTATACATTTTACTTTGTGCCCTGCCTATAGTCGATTGACTATCACAATGTATGCAAATGGCTGGGACTGGCTTTGACCATCTTGGAATATCTTCTAAAAACTGGCGAAGTCATTCTGCCTCTTCTCCACTTTTGTCCAATGCAATAAATTCGGACTCCATTGTAGATCTGGCAATAACAGTATGCTTAGAATATTTTATGATATGGCTGCACCACCGAAAGTGAATAAATATCCACTAGTGGATTTAGAATCTTTCATATCCGATATCTAGTTGGCATCACTATAGCCTTCAATTACAGCTGGATATTTACAGTAGTATTGACCATATTTACAAGTATATCTCAAGTATCTGAGTAACCTTACAATTCCTTTCCAGTGTTCATCTCCTGGATTACTTGTGTATCTACTCAGTTTACTCACGACAAAGGCGATGTATGGTCTAGTACAATTCACTAGATACATCAGACTCCCTATCACCCTTGAATATTCGACTTGAGAAACACTTTCCCCTTTATTTTTAGACAGATGTTGACTTGTATCTATCGGGGTCCTAGCCTGAGTTGAATCATCCTTATTAAAATTTTCAAGGATTTTCTCCACATAATGTGTCTGACTCAGAACAATTCCCATATTTTTTGATGTCAAATCTTGAATTTAACATATCTTTTGTGGATTTAATAATTTTATCATTGCTTCCAACGATAAGCATGTCATCTACGTAAAAACATAGGATTACATAACCATTTTCTGTGTCTTTAACATAAACACATTTATCACATTCATTAATTTTAAATCCACATTCAATCATGACATTGTCAAACTTCTCATGCCATTGTTTTGGAGCTTGTTTTAAAGCCATACAAAGACTTAACCAATTTGCAAACTTTATTTTCTTGCTCGGGAGCAGAGAACCCTTCCGGTTGCTCCATATAAATCTTTTCTTCTAAATCTCCATTTAGAAAAGCTATTTTTACATCCATTTGATGTATTTCAAGGGTTCGTAAAGCTGCAATTGCAATAATCACCCTGATGGATGTTATCCTCGTTACCGGAGAATATGTATCAAAGTAATCAAGGCTTTTTTTCTGCTTATAACCTTTAATTACAAGTCTAGCCTTATACTTATCAATTGTTCCATCAGGTTTTATTTTCCTTTTAAAAATCCATCTGTAGCCCAATGGTTTACTTCCATGGGGAAGATCCACTAGCTCTCATGTGTGATTTTGTAAAATGGAATCAATTTCACTTTGGATTGCCTCTTTCCAAAGAGGTCCTTCAAAATAATTTACAGCTTCTGAAAACGTTTGTGGTTTGCTTTCAACCATATAGGTTAGAAAATCTAGACCAAAAGATTTTTCTATCCTACCTCTTTTACTTTTCCGAGGTTCTACCTCAGCATATCCATCTTGATCTTTTTCTATTATTTCCAAATTTATTTTAGTGGAACTAGAATCCACTTCAGACTTACGTGGAAATATATGCTAAAAAAATGAAGCATTTCTAGATTCCAGTATCGTGTTCTTATGAATTTCCTCAATTTTGGATTATTGTACAAGAAAACGATAAGCAGAACTGTTGTGTGCATATCCAATAAATATGCAATCAAAAGTTTTTGGTCCAATCTTTATTTTCTTTGGTGTAGGTATTGCTACCTTTGCCAAACACCCCCACACTCGCAAGTATTTGTAGGATGGTGGTCTTCCACGCCATAATTCATATGGGCTTATGTCTAACTTTTTACGGGGAACCTTATTTAAAAGGTAATTTGCTCACAATACAGCTCCCCCCCACATGTTCTGCGAAAGTCCAGAACTTAACAACATTGAATTAATCATTTATTTTAAAGTGCGATTTTTCTTTCCGCAACCCCATTTTGTTGCGGTGAATAAGGTGCTGACATTTCATGTCTTATCCCATGTTGGGCACAGAATTCAACAAAAGGTGACTCATATTCACCTCCTCTGTCACTTATTATCACCTTAATCTTTTCATTTAACTGATTTTCAACTTCAGTTTTATAGAGAATAAATTTCTCTATCGCTTCATCCTTACTTTTGAGAAGATACACATAACAACATTTTGTGCCATCATCTACAAAAGTAATGAAATATTTATTTCCACCACGTGTCGTGACAGCTTTTAAATCACATACATCTGTGTGAATTAAATCAAGTGGTTCATTATTTCTTTCAATAGTTTGAAACGGTAATCGTGTCAATTTTGTTCCAACACAAGTTTCACCCTTATGTTTTGAATCAATATGGAACATAGGTATGCTTTTCAATTTTATTAACCTGCGCAGGGTATTATAATTGACATGTTCCAGTCTACCATGCCACACAATGGAAGACTCAAGCATATAAACAGAAGGATTAACAATTTTATTAATTATCATAACATTGAGCTTAAAAAGCTCATTACATT